ATTATGGTAGAATTTGATTTTCGAGGTTTAGAAGTCATTTTTGCTTGTTGGTTTGCGCATTACATGAAGTGACGAATGTTTTGTTGATAAGCTGCCATCGTGAACTCGGCGATTCCTAGAGGTTATGCAACTCACGCAGACTCGTTCTTCGGAGTTCTGAAACTGTTACGTGTGTGCTTAACCAAGAAAACACACACTCAGATACCAGGTACCTCAGATCCCTTGTCTCACGCTCGAAATGATATCATAAAGAGAGCCTTTGTCCTCTCAGGAAAAAGATAACCTTGACCGGGCTGATCAAAACGTATAAACAAAAGTGAGCTGTCAGTGGGTTGTCGTGATGACACATCCGCTGAAGTGGCGTGGATGTGTCAAGTGGCGGGAACAATGATCAAGTGGTCAATGAGGCATCTTGGGGAATCCTAGATCCCCAACGAAAACCTTGCGTTCGATCCTCTCAAAGCCACTACAGCCAGCGAAAATCGCTTGCATCAAGCCCTGAAAAAATAGGCGATTTTGATTTGCCGATCTGTTGATCTACGAATCAAAGTAACCTACGCAGAGCCAACATCCCAATTTCTCAACTCGGTCACATTATTCTGAACTCGAAATGTTTCCTGTCAAATATTTCCACTCAAAGTACAGATTAAAAACGCCATTAGACAGCTGCTTGCCATGCTGAAAGCCTCTCTCTGTCTCTAAATCATGCATTCGAAGCATCTGCACTGTGGCAAAGTAAATCAATGGACCTCCACAAGTGTAAAGCCAGCAACTCTTGCACACAAGATAACACGGTGATGACATCGGCGTGTGCTCCATTCATGGCGCCATAACTTGTCTTAGCAGGATTTCAAATCAATGTCACTTGCAAGAATGAAATCGTTACGTTTGCCCGTAGCAATAGAGAAGACCACTCAAATAACGGTACCAGATCCCTTGCTGAAGCTAGAACCGACCTTCCCAGGCTAATACAAGAACAAGACCAGAGCTCGAGTAGAGAGCTTTATTCACGTCAGCCACGTGCAGAGAAGAAGTGAAATCGAAAGTAATTTGAAAACTAATTCAAGTCAGGTTTGAACTTGACTTGATAAAAGCGTAACAAAACAAATGTCATTAAATTAATGTAAATAGAATCAGAAAACAATCTTGGGGAATCGTGGTTTACTTCCTCTTTGGTGGATGGGCTGGTTTGGCTATAGTCTTCTAGCAAGATTCTGAGCCAGTTATCAGCGAAATCTGCCAACTCGTCAAGTGGCGTGTCGTAAGTACAACGCTCAATGATGAGCCGTATCTCCTCCGGCATGCACTTTGTCCACACTTGACGCAGTTCCATGTCACCAATCTACCTGCCCTCAACCTCACGTCTCATGTGCGCTAGCAGTTCCGACGGTGACCTCCTGCCCAACTCAACATTGGGAAGTAGGCGTCGTGCTCGAGTTTCGTAGATTTGATTCATTCGCGTGATCACCGCGTGTTTCAACATATCCAAAAAGGTTCTTCCTCGTTACAGAGAATGGCATTTAATTGACATTATTTGAATTGACTTCATACTGTCCGATTAGATCGTTGATGCGAAAAGGTAAACAGATAAACGGTTGACGAAAACCCTTTGTGCTAGAATAAACAAAGGAAGCAAATAAGGGACTTTAATAATCTATAAACACTATAGGATAAGGAATCGGAAAGTGCGTTAGCAAGATGCAGACAAACGCCCTAATAGATATCAGAAAGCAGTTACAAGTTAGGAATGAACTTTAGACACCAAACGATCAGTATACATGACTGATTCAAGCGCAATGGCCGACAAACCACCACACACTCATCCCTGTTGAGCTTATAGCTACCCAGTGTACGTAATGTGAGTCAGCCTAGGGCGGATGGCGGATCACCGTTAGTCACGATTTCGTCTTAGTTAACACACTCCCTAACCACGTCACTCAAGTGAGTCAGCCATCCAAGTCACAATACTTACAGCTCAAAATGTAAGTTACAGAGACTTGAACCCCAAGGTCAAATTCCTTCTTCACTAAATTATGGAGGTACGAACTGACATATTACTCTGTCTTAGACAGAAGAAGACAACTGCACGTTCTGTTATCCGTGAGCGTATCGATTTCAATTCTGATGCAGCCCGCAATGTTCACTGATGCCGCACTTACGTTGGTGCCAATCTCGTGCCAATCGCAGCCAGGCGCCATGATATACAAAAGCAAAAAGCATTTTGTCGAATAAAAACTGATGATTTAACACAGCCGTGCCTTCGTTGCATCACACTCTTTCTTGATTTGTTCCCAAGACTAAAACGTTGGCATTTGTTGCATTATTTTAGCATGTCAATGATTGATAGAATACTGTTTAAATTAAAGGCTGAAGCTGATGGGCAAACGAGTATTATATCAGGATGTTTATAAAATGTTGCATGTGTTTATCTAGGCACGACGCAATGGCAACGTTGTGTTTAGGTTGCAAATATTTGTGACCTGACAACTTCCCCCGAATATGAGGTCAACGCTGACTCCACTTGCTCGAATGCTTGGTGATTTTGACACACCGCGACAATACATGTCGATCTCAGAAGCGATGCTGACTACCTCCTATAAATGGACAGAGGCACAAGGGAATCTTAACCGGGATATCATTTAACTGTGTATGTTCTCAACGAAATCGAAAATCTCTTGAAGGATGATTCTTTGCCTGTAAATATGGTTTTACCAGAGTAATCCTCTCATTATCAAAAGGACGCCCTCTTCCTGATTCTGTAGTTTGATAGCATCCCTGAAGTACGATTCGTGATATTCGGAGTTCGCTTTCGTGTCATAAACATTACGTCTAAACTCGACATATATTCCCATTTTGTGACGCGGCTACAGGAATGTGCCTTGGCTTCGCCGGACGGAATTCAGTCCACGATTGTCAGAACTCTGAGTTTTGAGGATATTAGCATTCTTGTGATTTCAAATCTACAGTTACGCCAAATCGCTGTTCACATTACAATCTCGTCACTCAGTGTTAATTACTCAACTCATTGATCTTACATCGACAGGGCATAAGTCGGTGATTAGAGCGTTGGTCCAAAATGACAAACACACACACACGGTTGACGAAAACTGTTTGTGCTAGAATAAACAAACAAAGCGAAATTGGGAATTTTAATATTCTCTACGGTCTGTGAGAGCGGAAATCAGATCCTGGGTTGGCTAGGTGCAGAGGTTTACCTGTATCCGCTTTAATAGATACAGAAGGCAGGTAGAAGTTGGGAATGAACCATTGACACAAAACGGTCAGTATACATGTCTCACTCTAGCGGTAGAACATTTCCCTTTGCTGCATTGTAGCTTAAATATACAAATCTGTGCATCTAATTATCACTTGGTTCGTCTGATGGAAAGAAGCAGGGAGGCTTGTAATGTTTCATTCCTTGAAATGACTTTCTATTAAGTAATTTGTGCAGACAGGCTGCAGCACACTAACTTACTGAGCATCATTTCAAGGTCGTCAATGTGTGAGTCTCGATGCGATATTTCCTGGTATTTGGCTTGTGGAGGTCCTGTGGTTGGCTGTACCCCATTGCAAGCGCATCCGATGCATGGACAAGAGGAAGGCGCTCTCACCGTGGCGAGATGCACGCAGTTAGCAGAGCTGAAGAGTGAACAGATTGCGATCCAGCTGATCTACATTCATTTCAGCTAAGCGCGGGCTAGTTGAATATGGACCCTGAAATGGAACGCAAAACAAGAAACACTTAGCACTTAATATTTACAGGGAAGTTGGAAGGGAATTGGAAGTAACTGGTTTGAAGCATCAAAGCGAGAACGCCGGTTGGTGCAGGAGGGACGGATTGAACGAAATTGCTGCAGCCAAACCAATTGTAATTAGATGGTGGAAATTCATGCACCACAAATTTAGGTCACGGAATGTGCCTTCTTACATTAATTTCGCACAGTAATATCCGCCTTTGAGGTATTGTAGACGTGTGAGCCACTTATACGGCTGGTACGCTGAGGGTCAGATCGAGTTTGGTTCTACATCTGAAGCATAGAAGCAAAGTGACAGATACGATGGAATCACAGCCAGTGGGTTCCATGACCAAGGTCATCCCAGCTGGCTAGGTAGCATACGTTTGTGACTTGTAGGTCTCCCCAGTTATAGGCAAAAGCCTTTAAAAGAGGTTCTCCCTTTGGATTGCGCTAAGCACTTCGGTTTGGTGATTATGTCGCGTTGGAACGTGATGTTGACTATCGCCAACCATACTTCGGGATGCCTTCAAGTTGAGGAATAATCAATACTGCGTTTTTGAAATCTAAGAGAAAAACTCCGATGTGGTTTCATTTATAGCCAATGGATGAGAGTAACTAGAGAACATGCCCACCGAAATGACCACTTCTTTTTTGATTCGATTGTATTTGCACGTTTGTGTAAGAGAAGCCTGACCGTGCATCACGGCTGAACCAAACACCACGCAGCAAACAACGACACCAGAATCAAGTAGATCAATAACTTCACACTGCTAAATATGCTAGGCTAAAAATTGTTCGACCCGAGGCTTGGAGAAGCTAAGAAAATCGTGAGTTCAGACCTTTGGGGCAGTGGATTGCCTTCACACTCATGCTTACACCACCTAATCCCCCAGTCTTGTCTGTAAGTCACGTCGCGCTCACTCAGCCACATTGGTTGACTAGTGAATCGAGGTTAGAAACACGATATTAATACTGTAGACAACCCGAGCTCTACTATGATGAAGACTGGTAAAACAGAATACGTTTTATTGACCACTCACAAGCCAGAGCCACACGTCAGGCGCCATCCATCCGAGTCGACCACGCCCCTCATTCATGTTCTTCTCTGCTTGGCTACATATCTACCTCGCATGCCATTGGATCACAGAGAGACGAAGGATTGGCTGAGACAGTCGTGGACCAATGTCTGCGCCCTCAGACGTCACCACAATACAGACAAGCCGACTGAGCTGCAAAGCAGTCACACATGTGTGGACGTCACATATGGACGAAGACGCGGATAATCCTTCGTACACAGGTGTCTTCGGACGAGACTATTTTGCCACCATTCCAAAGTACACTGAACACCCGCTGTTATGGCTCCGGCAAATCGAGGTCCACTGCAACAAGATAACCTCGCAAACCATCAAATATCATCGTGTGTTGTCAGAACTGCCCAAACATGTGAAAGTTGCAGTTCTTAATCTGATTGGGGAAACTCCTGAGTATAGACCCTATGATGAGTTGAAACACACGGTGATAGCGCGAAAGTCGTGCACGACGACTTCTTCCCAATGTTCGGTTGGGCAACAGGTTACCGTCGAACCTGCTGGCGCACATGCGACGTGATGTTGAAGGCAGGCAGATTGGTGACATGGAACTGCGCCAATTGTGGACCAAGTGCCTGCCGGAGAAGATGCCGCCCGTCTCAACTGCACACCTACAGATGCTAACTCGGTGCTTTTGAAAGCCGATTCGATTGCGCTTTCCTGCAACACGGACTCCCAAACGCAATTCCGATTCTTCTTTTGCTTCCTTGAATCAACCTCACTCACAGAATTCTTGCCTATGCGAGTTAGATGAGTCCACATACTGACAAATAAGCATACGAGGTATTCTTGCTGGCGGTAAACGAGGTTCGCCCTCGTCATCGGAGCTACAGGACGACAATTCGTCGCCTCACAAATCACACGCTCCAACTGACATCCTAAAATGACACAAAATACCACGTCACATCAAGCCATACTACTATCCGAAATATTGAATGGAGATGCAACAGTTTAATCTCACACTGTGCACGTGATGATCATGCGACTAACATGTACATGAATGAAAAGGTGTTGAGATAAAAGTGGAAAAACTGCTAAATAAAAACACGATGCTAAATTCTGAAAGGTAATAACCTTACAAACAGGCGATGCATGGAGGTCAAATTGGAGTATGACAAGAAATGATGGTGTAAAATCACGGCCAACACCAAAACAACATTGTTTTAAAAATACGGAGGAATGCAACACGCTTGTTGCTAATTATGACTACAGGTATAGTTGACTTGGGAATGTTTGACTACGTTGTGAGATTGCATCAAACTTCAGCACAGCAACATTTTACCAAACTTGATTTTAAATAGCCTTAGTACAGGGCTACAAAGGGATGATATGACTTGCTGAATAAATAAATAGGGTAGAAAGCAGTGCTTAACAAGTAAAGGCTTCAATGACGAAATATAGTCTCAGAGATCCAGACAAAGAGCAGGGTAACAGGTGCCAATACAAAAGTGGACTACATTCAGTCTGATACCTAATACAACGACACATTTCAATGTGCATAAAAAATTAGTAAAAATGATAAAAGACTAGTAAAAAACTATTTAGTGGCAATAATATCCACTTCTGAAAACAAAACAAATTCAATACCACAACCAAATTACAACACAGACTAGTTTCAAAGGCATGTTCTGGAACTTTATTGAAATGACACCTGCGAAAACGACTGATTAAAACATGCTTCAAACACAACTAACCAGAATAGATCGTTACACCTAGTTTCTAATTCTTTTAATGCAAGTAAAATTTCTTTCCAATGGGGACTTTTGAAATTAGGATGAAATAGATCCTTTAAGTAACAAGCTAAAGCAAATACAATATGCCATGCGAGGAAGATTAGCAGCCAACCAGAGAAGGACACGAATGAGGGGTGGTAAATAATGAGCGGCGTGGCCAGCGTGGTGGACTCGGATGGAAGGCACCTTACTTGTGGTTCTGGCTTGTAATTGGTCAATAAAGCCAGTTCTGATGTACCAGTCTTATTCATACCAAGGCTTGGGTATTCTACAAGAGGCCTATTAAACCTTGTAGCCTCGTTCAACTTTGACCCAATCATTCATTAGGCTGCAATAGCAGTTATAATTTAGTCGCATTGGCTAATAGTGTTGTGGAGCTCTTTTTTATTGTTTGCTTCAGAAATCACCACAGGTTCTGCAAGACCACTACGATAAAATATCACATTTATTTCTGTCTCCCTAACTCTACGTGTCTCATTGAATCAATGCCAATAAGATGTCTTTGATCAGATTTGCCTTACTCAACCCACAAAATTAACGGGATTGTCTTTGATTTTGCATAAGACATCGTTCATATGCCAAGTCCTCCTACCTAGGAATGGCTGCGTGTTTTCGGTTTAAAGTGGGGTTGTCTATGAACTTTATGCTTTTTATCTTGATATTTTCGTTGTGTAGTCAGGGCAGATCCAACTCATTGGCCACGGCGTGGCATAAGGCCACATCCTGGGGCCCACATAAATATAAATGATAAATTTTACAAGTTATTTATTGGTAAAGATGACAGGTTTAGATTTGGCTTCCTAACGATAATGTTTCCAGGGTGCAAATAAGTGTGACTTCACAGTTCTCACGCAGTTATCTCCTTTACGTCATACAGTGGTCAGCATGTTTTAATCATCGATTTCAGTGGCACAATGTACGACTTTTAGCGAAGAAATTTCATCTCTAAATGAGCTGCAGCACATCCAGCACCAGCAATGATTTTGCTGTGACCAATTCAAAGGGAAATCACAGACGACTTCTCAGTAATTTTTTTCCCATAAGATGTTGAACAACACACCAAAGCAATGTTCTAATTACTAGAAAAACACGACTTGCTTTTTCAACCATAGTTGAGTAATGTCTACTCTGACGCTTGGTTTAAACACCAGAGGCCTGATTCTATATTTACATCATAGCGTCAGAACTGTGGCACAATTGCCTGTTGCTATGATCAGACACGTGGCTAATCTGGTCAATCCCGCCAATCAGGAGAATGACAATGCACAGGTGAAAAGCGTAGTTATCAAACGTATGCAAAAATTAAATTGAGACAAATCGGAAGGAGAAATAAGCGGAAGCTAACTGGGTCATACATTTACGGCTCAACTGCCATTAGCTGCTTGCTGATTTAGATATTGAAGACTCAGTGGTGCGACAGTACATGATTAAATGCCTACCAAAAGAGACGAGGCACACAGTTAATTGGTTCAGTTCTGATTCACCATTTGACAGTCTGGCCTAAACTGTAAATAAGTACCATAGGAAGTCGCTGAGGAGAAATGTTATGAAGAGACGTCAAAGACGAATCAATGCAACCTGAACCTGTTCTCTTATTTCAAAAAAAATCGGCAAATCTTTTTTTGGTTTGAACTGTTATTGAAATGCAGCCGATAAATACGTTGAAAGTACAAGAATAAGAGTGCGCAATGTGACTTTTTGCTGCATTGCACCAATGAGCGAATGCTTGTAGGTAGCGCGGATGATAAACGACTTAACTCCAGCTAAATTTCATTTAGTTTGCTGGCTTTCCTTTAGAAGGAGGTGAAAAATATTTCCCAATAATCATGAAATGAAATATAATATACGTTTACACGCTCGCCTAACAATTTAGTGTAAAGACTTTCTACTTAAAGCGAAAATTTGTCACCGTAAACGCCAAAATATTAGCTAACACAATAAACGGTAATGTTACAGTTGACTTCGGTCATCGCATTAATTCCTAAACACTGGGTGTTTAATCAAGCTGCATTATAAATGGAATTGTGAAATCGTTGACAACATAGAATAGGCCAATGAAATGTTATTTGGTGCATAGCATATTGAATATTCAAGAGCCAATTCCCTGAAATAGAACCTATATCTGTTTGATAGGAATCGAGCTTAACGCAAAACAAATTCAGTCGCATTAGCTAGATAAATCTTGAAAGTTAGTCCACATGAAGGAAAAACTTTCTCAATAAGCAGATTTTTGAAGAAACTCCGCCGATGGCATTATGGCGAAAAGGGAAATTGTGTTTTCAACTTTAATGTGCGAATATTCAAAGACAAGGTCAAATCTAAAGGTGTTCTAGGTATTGGTGGTTCTGTGAAATGTGAATTAGGTTCAACTAAACGCCAAACAACCACTAACTACTAAAAAACGAATGTGCAAACAAGGGGGAATAATGAATAGGTGCGAACGAACTGTGGGGCTTAATATGCTCAGCTAACTTATTCAGGCTTAAGCTTAATTACTTAAAGGTCAAATATAGATTTACGTCAAGACGATAGACAAAGGTAAGAATTTATGTCAAATAATGATAAGAAGAGTATGTGCGAGTGGGTACAGCATAAAGTAAATGGCTCCATTTAATTAGTAGCTGTCAAAAAGTAAAGGCATTGCATGGTGTTTTATGACAGCTTAGGCCATCAATCAGAAAATCTGCGTATATGAAAAAAAAACGCCGTATGTGCATAGGAGGATTCAGCCAGGATTATGATGGCTAAATTAAAGTGGGAATTAGCCATTATGAAGTGCTTAAAATGCACAAGGATCAACGAATTTGTGGCTAAGTAGGTAGTAAGAGCATTTAGCATTTCAAGCATCAATTAGTCATGAAAAGCTAGGAAAAGGAGGAGAGATAAAGAAATAATCCACATTAGTAGATAACCAAGTAAAAAGCAGCAAAAGTGACATGTTTTCAATAAATCTTATTTTGTAAAGCTTACAAAAAAACATCATGCTGCCTGTTTTAAAGATGCGTTTGTATAAACTTCGCTCAAGTATTTTGTTTTAACTAGTAGTATAGATTTGACTTAACTATCCCTTTCGCGTTTTCAAATCGTATTGCCTGTTATTGCGTTTAGTTGAAACACAGCAATTTGTTCTAACAGCGATTTGACGTTGAGATGATTAGTAAGGACCAGACAATAAAATTAAATACAGTAGAAACAAATAATAGTTAACTGCACAAAATTTCGAACATTAGCGCAATGCCAATTTATGTCGTACGCAACCAGGTCCTAATCAGCACATTTGTCTAAATTTTTATAATATCACAAATTTGAAACTTGATGTGATGACTAGCAGGTATGGTGAATAGCAGAAAGATGACTCAATTTGGATTATCTTTGTACTGTCCGATGTAAGCTATGGTGCGTAGTGACAAACAAACACACGGTAGACGATAATTGGTTGTGCCAAAATAACCAAACGAGGCAAAATTGGAAATGTACAAATTCTATATACTCTCTGAGCCAAGGAAGCAGGAAGAGGTTCAGCAAGATACAGACGTTCATCTGCATCCGCTTTAATAGATATCAGGAATCAGTTAAAAGTTTAGATGAGACATTAACACAAATAGGTCAGTTTACGTGCCTCACTCACGCGCAATGGTCAACACACCAGCTTGTTGAGCTTACAGCAGCCCTATACACATGATGTGACAGCCTACGGCGGTCGCCGGATCACCATTATTCACGACTTCGGTTTAGTTAACCTATCCCCCTTTCCACGCCCCTCAAGTGAGTCAGCCATTGAAGTCACAACACTTACAGCTCAAAATGTGTATTAAAGAGACTTGAACCCTAAGGTCAAATTCCTTCTAAACTTAATTACGGAGGTACGTACTGACATATTACTCTGTTCCAGACAAAGGAAGCCATCTGCACGAGGAATTTTCTTTGTACCTAACTCACAATGTCATTCATGGAGTCAAACATAGAATTTGAGGTGCTAGTTTTCTGAGTGTGTGGTTTCTATTATGACCAAATATCTTGTTGCCTGTAAGCACATAGGTTTCAAGTCTGATGCATCCCGAAATCTTCACTGACGCAGCACCTACGCTGGTGCTAATCTCGTGCTAATTGCAGCCAAATGCCATGATACATAAAGGTAAAAATCATTATGTCGAATAACCTGATGTTTCAAAACAGCCATGCCTCCTTCCCATCACCTTAATTGTTGATTTGTTTTTTTGAAATTTTATGAACAACGACATTTTTGTTACCGTGAGAAACAGATGCATCATCTTTGCATGTCAATGATGGATAGACTGCTGTCTAAATTAAAGGCTGAAGCTGACGTGGAAACAAGTATCATATCAGGACGTCTACAAAATTGCGCACCTGCATCATCTACACACGATGCACTGGCAACGTTGTGTCTAGGTTGCAAATATTAATGGCCTGAGAGCTTTCCCCAATTATGAGGTCAACGCTTCCTAATAGGCTCTCGCTCAGTGAAAAGCCGAGCAGAACATTGGCTCCACTTGCTGGAAAGCTTGGTGGTTGTGACACAGCGTGACAATACATGGCGATCTAAGACACGATGCTGACGAGTCGAAATGCAGCTTTAATTAGCGCGGTCATAATTCTGAAAACCTATCAATCTCAAGAATATTGAAAAGTTCGCTATTTTGGTTGTGGGAGCACAACTCTGATATGATCGCATATATAGGCAACTGACTACGATTGAGTTGAGAACATACGCAGTTTAATGGTGACCCTACTAAGAAACCCATGTGCAACTGTCAATACATAGGAGGTGCCTGATTGTGATTCATGCCTCACCCAAACAGCATTTAGCAAAGAGAGGTACCAGAATCAAGTAGATCGGTAATCACACGCGGCTGAGTGTGGTATGCTCACAGTGGTTCGACCGGATGCTAGCACAAGCAGAGAGAATAGGCAGTTCACACCTTTAAGGTAATAAGCTCAGTTTAACACGAATGTCAACAACCAATAAGCTGAGTCACGTCAGTCAGTCAATTAGCGTTCACTCAACACCCTGAGCCACGACGCTTGGCCAATCACAAAGAATCGCAAGATCTAACAGCTCCATTGATTCACGAGAGACTCGAGATTAGAAACACCCTGTCAATGCACACAAATCGACTGAGCTGCTTAGAAGTTACACGCGTTTCGAGGCCACACATGGACAAAGTCCCAAATCACCCATCGCGCAAAGATTTCGTCAGAGGAGACTTTTACGCCACCATTCCAAAATTCACCGAACACCCATCGTTATGGTTCCGGAAACTCGAGGACTACTTTCACCGCAACAAGATAACCTCGCCAACCACCAAATATTATCGTGTTTTGGCGGAAATTCCGATGCGTGTAGTACTTGAAGTTCTTGATTTGATTAAGGAAGTTCCTGAGGATGAGCCATACGAGGAGTTGAAAAACGCTATAATCACGCGAATGAATGAAATCTACGAAACTCGTGCGCGTCGCCTTCTTCCCGATGTTGAGTTGGGCAACAGGTTACCGTCCGAACTGTTAGCGCAAATGCGACATGTGGTTGAGGGCACGCAGATTGGCGACATGGAACTGCGTCAAGTGTGGACCAAGTGCATGCCGGAGGAGATACGGCCCGCCATTGAGCGTTGTACTTACGACACGCCACTGAACAGGTTGGCCGATTTCGCTGATACCATGTTGAAAAACTGGCAAGAAGATCAAAATCGAACCATCGAATCCATTGAAGAAGAGGCGAAACTCCCGGTCAACTTGACCATGGATAGACTTGAAATGCTGCTTGAATGGATCTTTGCCAGGCTTGATCGGCTGCAACAGTGAAAGCGGAGTTTTTGTTACCGTGTTTGACCTTTTTGTTTGCAATAACACATTACGATACTTGATCATGTTTGATTTATACCATTCTGCTTGGCTAGTGACGTCATGAGTTTTATTTTTGCATGTGATGTTGTATAGAAATCTTGGTAAGACTAGTTATGGCGCCTTCAATAAAGCACACTTCGCTGTCATCATTGTGTTAGCCTGTGGGCAATGGTTGTTTTCTCTACACACTGGTGGAAATCCAGTGATTTGCTGTGACACGGTGCGAATGCTCTAAATGCATGTGCTAGCGAGAGACCAACAGGTCATATCAAGATGCATGCATTTAGTCGAGTTGCAGAGCAGCCAGTGCTGGTTGTAAGAGAGCCCCACGCATTTTGGCCAAGCAAGTGTCAGCTGGCTTGATTAATGAGGAGCAGGAACTGAAGTGTTAAAAGTGAATTATTTTGAGCTCATAGCCACTCAGGGCACGTGATGTGAGTCAGCGTAGAGCGGATGGAGGATGACCAGTTCCCACGATTTCGTCTTAGTTGACACAGCCCCCTAAGCACGTCTCTCAATTGAGTCAGCTATCCACGTCAAACCATATGCAGCTCAATCTCTGCGTTAATCTAACCTGAGCCATTGGGTCAAATTCCTTCTCTACTTAATTACGGAGGTACTTGCTGAAATATCACGCTGTCTTTGACAAAAGAAACTTCCTGTACTAGTGAATTAGCCATTGGCGCCACCAAGAAAGCACACTTTAATGTCATCGGTGTGTTATCCTTTGTGCAATATTTGCTGTCGTTACACTTCTGTAAGTCTGTTGGTTCTCTGCAATGCATTACTTACGCTATGAATGCATGATTTAGTGTGAGAAATAAAGGCTCTCATGTTGGCCTGCAAGTGTTTTCTGGCTTGTTTTATCTGTACTATGAGTGGAAATGGTTGATATTAAACATTTTGAGTTCAGAACACTCAGAAGTAATTGACAGAGTTGAGAAACTGGAATCTCAGCTCCATAAAAGTCATTTTACTTCGGAGATCAACAGATCAACAAGTAAAAATAACATTTTTTCTTCAAGCTTCGTATAAGAGATTTTTGCGGACTGTAGTATCTTCGAGAGGATCGCACGCAAGCTTTCAGTTGGGAGTCTAGGATTTTTCAAGATGCCCCCTTGCTAATTTCTGCATTGTTCACACCATTTGTCTAACCACGCCGGGTTTGACCACGGACACAACTGACCCCTCTTAATAAGGATACTCGAGAGATTTATCATAATATCCAAACTAAACTAAATTAACAATGTCTTGGGCACAATGGATCGTAAAAACTTAACATCGTCGGAGCTGTCAGTGGCCTACTGTTGAGGACCGACTCACTTGAGTGACGTGGTTAGGAGAGTTGTGTAAATAGAGACGAAATCCTGCAAGTCATCCACACAAGGCTGACTCACTTCACAACGATGACATCGATGCGATGGATCAAATCTGATTGACACACAGTTTGAGCTATCAATCGTGTGACGTGGTGGTTGACTCACTTGTGAAGCGTGGTGAAGGAGTTGCGTTAACTAAGACGAAATCGTTACTAACGGTGATCCGCCGACCGCTGTAGGTTGATTCACATCACGTGCTCTGAGTAGTGTTGAACTCAACAAGGATGAGTGTGCAGTGGTGTGTTAGCCATTGCGTTTGAGTGAGGCGTGCATGCTGTTATATTTGTGTCAATGGCGCATCCCTACTTCTTACTTGTTTCTCTTGTCCAATAGTGCGGTCGTAATATCTTGGGAGTCTAGGATTTTTCAAGATGCCCCTTGCTAATTTCTGCATTATTCACACCATTTGTTTAACCACGCCGGGTTTAACCACGGACACAACTGTCCCCCTCTTAATAAGGATACTCGACCTATGCCATCTTATCTGTTCCTGGATTGCCAGAAGACGTATTTCAGTTAACAGGACTGATTTGATAGAGTTTTGACAGGCTAGTATTGCATCTAATCTATGCTAGAATAGACTAAAAAAGTCCATCAAACCTCAACAACTGGCGACATGTTGTGCAAACTAGGATTAGGTCTAGTAGTCAGGGAGACTTCGATGCGATGGATCAGGCCTGATTAACACACAGTTTGAGCTGTAAGTGGTGTGACGTGATAGTTGACTCACTTGTGTGGCGTGGTTAGGGCGTTGTGTTAACTAAGACGAAATCGTGACTAACGTGATCCGCCGACCGTTGTAGGCTGACTCACACCACGTGCCCTGGGAGGCAATGAGCTCAATAAGGATGAGTGTGTGGTGCGTCGGCATACATACTTCTCTTGTCCAATAGAGTGGTCGTAATATCTTGGATATTTAGAGTTCAGCGTGATACTCGCAGCTGCATTCTCAGTGGACGTTTGTCGTTTGATGTGGACACGAAGGAGTCTTACTTGTGCGTCAAACAAGTCAAGACCCTGACGACAGGAGATGCCTGCGGACATTTGCCTCATCTTGCAAATCCACAGCCTAATTCTTTAATTTGCAACATTCCGTTCTAAATTTAAATTTCAAATGTCACCTTGTTAGTTCATTCTAGCGGAGACTATATTCTCCAACTAGTTGCCACTTTGTCACTTTACATGTAAGCTACATTTGGACGGTACGAATCCTAATCTTTTAACTTGCTTAACCAGAATAAATCTGACTCTGAGCGATTCAGCCACATAAATAGCTTGTACTTCAAATTTAAGGCAAGAACGCATATTTCTGTGCGTCCACTGATCTGTCAACTCGCGCAAACAGACAAAAAGTGAATCTGACCTTGCCTGCTTTCGTCCTTTTATTCCACTGAAGGTAGGATGAAGTGGGTTAATTTGGTTTGCATCAAGCAACCCTAGTTAAGACAAGCGTTGTCCAGTGCGCCCAAAACGAACCTTGTGCTACTCGACATTTACTTGCCTTCAGGATATCCAGGCAAAATGAATGAATTTCTGTTTTAGTGCACTGTTGTCGATCGGAAGAAATCATATGGGTCTGGCACAGTTGGTATTCACCAAGGCCTTTTTTTCTGTCCCAGATCTACCACCGTGGCACGACGCACACATTTAGTCGTGTGGCACAAGTTCAGTTTGCGTTTGGTTGCGCGAGTTGAAAGATTAGTCGGCGGGCAGAAATACGCTTTCTTACCGAAATTTGTATT